AAGTCAACAAGGGTGAGTAGGTTTGAATGGAATGTTATCATGACCACATGACATTCAGAAGGTGTAGAAGAACACCCTTTCCTCGCCATTTGTTTGAATGTTTAAGTTGCACAAAATGTTATAACATTTAATTTTTCAGTTTTAATATCATTATTACATACAACATGACCAGTGTTTAGAAAGGTGAGAGGTGTTTAGAAAGGTGACCAGTGCTTAGAAAGGTGACCAGTGTTTAGAAGGTGACCGGTGTTTAGAAAGGTGACCGGTGCTTAGAAAGGTGACCGGCGTTTAGAAGGGTTGACCTCTGTTTAGAAAGGTGACTGGTGTTTAGAAAGGTGTCCGGTGTTTAGAAAGGTGACCGCTGTTTAGAAAGGTGACTGGTGTTTAGAAAGGTGACCGGTGTTTAGAAAGGTGACCGGTGTTTAGAAAGGTGACCTGTGTTTAGAAAGGTAACAGGTGTTTAGAAAGGTGACCTGTGTTTAGAAAGGTGACCGGTGTTTAGAAAGGTGACCTGTGTTTAGAAAGGTGACCTGTGTTTAGAAAGGTAACCGGTGTTTAGAAAGGTGACCTGTGTTTAGAAAGGGAACCGGTGTTTAGAAAGGTGACCGGTGTTTAGAAAATCACAAACAGTTAGCATTCCCCCGAAGCTCCGGAGCTGTTTAATTTTTTTTAGAGCTTTAAGATACAATTAGTACAAATGCTGCCCGACGTCAGACATGTTAAGAAAACCACAGGGATGATGTAGTTGATACTCTGCTGTTTTACATTTCCCTAAATCAAATACAATGCAAAAATGCATAAAAAAAGAAAGAAAAGATGCAATATTAGAACTGCATAATACACAAAAAATAGCGTTGAAAATTCTTGACGTTTAGCACAAGAATTTTACGGGATTTTGTTTTTTTTTGTTTAATAAAATGTTTTTTTTTTGCAGTAGAAGGGCCGATGAAATCTACTTTGTGTAACCCGCATGGCTGGAAAGGCTGAAGATCTGTGCAGGAGGACAACAGAGACCCTTATCGCTTTTTTACGCGCTTACTAAACTTACTATTCAGTTTATTTAAGAGGCTAGTGTTTCCACTCATAAAGAATACCTGTATTTACAGTACAGTATATATATATAGAGATAGATAGATAGATAGATAGATAGATAGATAGATAGATAGATAGATAGATAGATAGATAGATAGATAGATAGGTAGGTAGGTAGGTAGATAGATAGATAGATAGATAGATAGATAGATAGATAGATAGATAGATAGATAGATAGATAGATTAACTTAATTGTCGGGAGCCGCGGCTCCTGATATTAATGCGCCGGCCGAAAATGAGGAAATAGTCCTCTCTCCCCGGGCCTTATCACTTTATCGGAGAGGCCGGGAGAGAGGGGACAGTTTGACATTATGAGGTTCCCACAGGCTGAACCACAAATTCCCCCTCTAGTTCTCTCTAATGCAGATGGGCCGGTCTATGCAGACATGACACCGCGACCCACTGCAGAGGGTGTCGCGACCCACGAGTTGAGAACCGATGATATATATTATACAGTATACTGTAGAACAGTATTTATGAAATGTGCTCAATATTTTACAGTTTGTGAAGACCCAAAGCAATGGTTTTTACCCTAAATCCAGGCTCCCTGCAGTGTCATGAGATAAGTGTTAGGAGCCTTATCCTTCATTTCTTCCTGATAAGACCAGAGCACAAACAATTTGGATGAGCATATCTGCCTGGGTTCGGTTCATGAAGCTTCTCAAATCTTGGTCAAAGATCAAAGATTGTGAATTCTATTGGGGAGGGGGCAAATCTTGTTATGCGATTCTGCTAATTTGTAGAGCTCATAAGCAAGCTATTTTGGAACATAAGGTTTGGAATGCTGGGCACTGTCATGGGAGAGATGTACCATTGGCAAAATAAAAACACATTAACAATAAACTCCCTAGTGGGGAGCACCTCCTCAATTCCTAGCAGAGTACTCAGGTTCCAGTGGGGTGGTCCCCCTGTGTCCTTGGATCCCTCCAGCTGTTCGCCATTTTAACCTTGACTATAGTGAGAAGGATTATGTTCATGAGAATAATTGCAAGTAGCCATTTGTGTTCTGAACTGTTACTGAATTAGTGATCCTCCGCTAGACTCTCTGTTGCTACGGAGTCTTATAGAAACTTTGCTGTGCAGCCACATGTTACCCTGATTGAGCCACAAGAACATTGCTGTGAAGAGTCAATGTTTGTACAGCTTTCATAATCTGTTTTGTATTATTCTGTGGTGTATGCGTGCACTTTGCTATTACGACCCTGTTTTGCGCTATTAATTCTAACTTTGCACTTATTTAATAAACTGCAACTTACAGTTAAAGGAGAACTATGCGGTCAGTGTTTTTCCCCATAGTTCTCCTCAGTGTCACGGGAGGACATAAACTAGCGTCCTCCCGTGACCCAAAGCTCAGTATACTGAGACCCTCCGCAGCCGGGACGAATCCCGACATTACTGTCTGGATCCACCCAGCTGCGCGATTGACAGCTGGCTCTGCCCATCTAGAGGCAGAGCCAGCTGTGCCCGCCCCCTCCCTGTCCGTTCCGCCAGTCAGCGCTGGAGGAGCAGAGCCGGAAGGGGGGAATAGGTGCAGGGAGTCGTGAGTGACAGTCAAGGCTCTCTGCAGGGACAGGATCGGGAAGTGAGCGAGCGACGGTATGTGTTCGCTCACTTCCCGATCTACTGAGCCGACCTGTGACAGTTTCATTGTCACGCGTCGTCTCGAACAATAAGGATGAGTGATTTTCACTCACCTCATAGTTCTCCTTTAAAAGAAAAATAAATAAATAAACTCCCTACACAGAACTGTTGGCTCTCTCGGACAGCTCCAACACACAATGACAATATGGCTACGGTGAGCCTACCTTTGTATAGGGCAGTGGTTCTCAACCTGTGGGTCGGGACCCCCTCGGGGGTCGAATGACAATTTGCCAGGGGTCGCTTAGTGGCTCTCGGCCGCCGGGAGAGAGACACTTTTTCCTGGAAAGGTCGGGACCTTTCTCTGCTCTGTTTTTTTTTTTGAAAATCGGGGGACGCCGTAAGTCAGAAAAAAATAAAAAACCCACCATAGGAATGCATAGCTAGATTCCTATTGGCTATTTCACTTTGAAAAAGCCAATAGCAAAATAGCTATTGCACCCGCCCTCTGATGCTGCCAATCAGCAGAGGGGGACCTGAAGTTCTCCATCAGGTCCCCTTCTAGTAATTGACAGCAGCAGAGGGCGGGTGCAATATGTATGGATTCAAGCAAAACAATATGTAAAACACACCTCTAGCTATGCATTCCATTTTCCCGGTCCGCAGCTGCAGAGATCGGGAAATGTCTCAGTGCCTGTGATTGGCGCTGCGCGCTGTCAGCTTCCTGGCGGGCTCGGCACGTGAAGCTGCGAACACGCCCGAGCCCATCCCTACCAGTGACAGTACTGCGGAGTATGTACCTCATACGTTATATAGCCACACACTTTAAATCCAATTCTTCTAGTTCCAGCTGCAGAGCCCGGTCCTGTCTTTGCCTATAGCAGTGGTTCTCAACCTGTGGGGTCGCTGTGCAAGGTGAGAGTCCTCCTCAGCTCTCTCCTAGCGCAGCAGTGTCAGTTCTCCTGCCACGCCTCCAGATGTCGCTGCAGCAGCCGCGTCATCCCTAAATTTTACCTTTGGGGGTCACCACAACTTGGCAAATGTTACCAAGGGGTCCCGGCCCTAGAAAGGTTGAGAACCACTGGTATAGGGGAAGGAAGGGGGCAGGATCATCCAGGATACTTCAAATTATTGGCTCTCCTGACCAGAAAAAAAGGCTATGTACTGCATTATAGGTTGTTCCTGCATTATAGGTTGTTGCTTATTTCTGGCGGCCCTAAATTTGTGATTCTTGAAGTTTGCAAATCCCAGACATTCGTCCAGCACCCATCATAGCAGCAAACCCAAACCTCATTCCCTAACAGACAGCGAGAGCTGTAGAAGGAGCAGATAGCACAAGACCTTTACAATAGGACATCAAAGGGTATAGAGGTTTGCCAGCTTAACTCCATTGAGTCCCCCCTCCCTCTCACTCCCATCTACATGAAACGTTTCCTCTAATTTCTTCACATCTCCACAGACATTCCACCAACGAGAATATGACATTACCGGTTACTGTCACCGCAGCCGTTGTCTGTTGGTCCCCGCAGATACAAGAGTACTTTCCAGCGTCGTCCAGCACCAGGTCCCGTATAACCAGCTCTGACGTGGAACCTTCCTGACGTGTCTTGTACTTCTTGCTTTGCTTTACGACTTTGTCATCCTTCTTCCACTCTACTTGAGTGTCGGGCTTGTTGAGTTCACAGCACAGAGTCACCGATTCCCCTTCAGTGGCCTGCTGGTGGGTGAGCTCCTGGGTGAAGTGGGCTGGAGGCTCTATGGGAAGAATATTACAAACATAGCATGATATACAACGAAACATCATGAGAAGTCCTGAACAGAAGAAAATATTGACACGCTTGCATCTATAGTTTCTAACATGTGGCATGTAAAAAAAGCACATGCACGAAAAGGGGTAATCAATCATAGAGATTTTGACTATGGTACATAGGAGGTTTAATCCCTTAAAGCAGAAGTAAACCCATTAAAATGTCATACAAGCTTGAACATTTATTATAATTTCCAAAGCTGTTTCAACCTTTTTCAAATCTGCAGCTTTCATTAAAATAATCCCCGTCGATCCAGATATGAAAAGCCTTGCTCAGACACTTCCTGTTATGGGGTGACAACTGTCTCCCAATTGTGCCTCTTAGTTGTCACCCTATCACATGCATCCCTGGTGGAGACTACAAGTGGCCATGCTTAATAAATGAGAATGGCCTTAGCACATACAAGCAATACAAAGGCAGCTAAAATATGCCCATAAACAGGGTACAATCCTAGATACACCCACATATGAAACAAATATAGAACCTATAGAGGATTAGCACACCTTTTGAAATTCATAATACATTTAATGACAGCTAACAAAGCCAATTAGCATATAAGTAACCCAGGGGAATTGTAAAATCAGGTAGGTAGACAATTAAAGACCTGCGGGTTTCTGCTGAAGTAGGTGGCAACCCCAAAAGATCCCTGGGACCTCCTGCTTTGGCTGTATGTTGGCTTTAGGTAACTGCCTTTGCATGTATTTGTTTTATATGCGTCATTTATTGTCGATGTACCTGACTGTATAGTTTCATTGGGTTATTCCTTGTACACTATATAGATGCTTGTTTAGGTACTTTTTAACTCTCTCATTCCATGCAAACATGCATTTGATAAGGTGTGCTAGTCCTATATAGTTTCTCTAAAAGCGGCCATGCTGACACACATTGCCCCGGCTTGGTGCACTGTTGTCATCGTTATCAGGAAGCCATTTCAGACCAATGATATGCAGCCTGCAATGGAGTGTGTGCATGAAGGAAGTCTCTGAAGCAGGCTGGAGATCAGTGGGACTGAGATGGAAAAAAAAGTACTGAAAACAGTATTTTATATAAAAATTTAGACCCCCAAATTCAAGTTCAAGGCTTCCTTACCCCGAACCTTGACCCGTGCGGCAGTCTGCTGGTCTCCGGTATCACAGGTGTAGCTTCCGGAATCCTCTGCTCCTACGTGATGAATCACAAGCTCCACTACGGTTCCCTTTTGTCTGAGCTCATACTTGTCATTGGCTTGAAGGTCTGTGATGCCCTTCTTCCAGACCACGTGTGCATCAGCCTTGGTGATTTCACAGGAAAGAGTGACCGATGAGTCCTCTTCTGCCTCGCAATCCTGCAGGTCTTGCTTAAAGCGGACGGGAAGCGCTAGGAAAGAACAGGTCAAGGGAAGAGCTACCTTTTATTAGGTTCAAAGTGTCAACGCCACAACAAAAAAAAATTCAGTCCCAAATTATCCAATATCCTATTGGCGTCACTTTATTATATATATGTCCTAAGTAGCCAACAAGTGAATGTTTGGTGGCAGAGACTATTGACCTTGAAGGGTTTTCACACCCCAGAGTCTATAGACTTTACAAGGAATGGTGTGAAAATGAAGATACAACATACAGTGAGTCTGAGTTCTCTGTATTAACCAAATTTGGTAACAAGAGAGATCAGGGAAGATTATATTCATTGTAGTTATAACGAAGAATTCCAAGCAAGAACATATAAATATGGAAGCGGCTTGGATAAGTTGTAAAATTTCTTCAACATTACAGAACAAGCCCAGTTGAATGTGACTACTATTAGCTATACCAAGACCGGGATAAATGAGAACCTTCACCGACACCTTGAAAAAAACCTTTTATTCTATATATTCTCCAAAAAGTACAGAAAAAAGTTCCAGAAGGAGTGGGAAAGCCATTATGGTAAAGTACTAGAGCAATTTAGTGCTTTCATCTGCAGAGGTTGCTAGAACCCAGTATCTTCAACCTATGATGGAGATTGTGGACAATTTATCAGTCTCCACAATGACCTTTTTGATGGCTTTCTAATCACACTTGATGCTTGCAGAGGTCTAGGGGCTAGGTGTCTTCAGAAGAGATCTAGTGTTGGTGGGATACTGAAGGTGGAATTGTGGGTCTCCAAACCAAAAAACCCTGGTGCCCAGAAGGAACGGGTAATTAGAGGTCATCTCAGAATGGGTACAAAGTCGAAGAGGTATAAAAATGGTTACAACACCACCAGCAACACTTTTTGTGCATATGGCCACATCTTCAGGCAAGGTTTAACACAAAACTGGTGTAAGCTGCGTTAATGTTTTCAGTGTCAGTAGATTCTAATTACCCGCTCCTTCTGGGGGCATTATTTGTTTGAAGGCCCACAATTCCACCTCCAACAAAAACCTTTTAACCCTATGCATCCTCTCAGAGGTCATAGAATCATTTTGTAATTCAGTTACTTCAGATCTGGCTTAAGATAAAGTTGCTTTAAGCCAATAGAATCTTGGAAGTCTTTCAGTGTCTTCTCTGTAAGCTAATAAGAAGGAGGACATGGGTTCAAAGAGACATTAGGATGGGCATCAAGAAGTATTTAATTGCTGGCTAGAATACTTCTCATTGCTGAAAGTGATACAGTCTATTCATTTTTGGGTTAGAATTGAGAATGATTTCTCCAAGTCATATCAACTACAGGAAAAGGAAGTTTTCGGTGCATAATTACAGAGTTCACTCTTCTTTACTGAGGCTCAATCTCAAGAATCCCACCTTTGTGATGCATTATGGGAGCTAACATCAAGAGCTTAGCAAGACTACATGTTCCTTTGAGGTGTAAACCTTGATTTGTACTTTTATAATGTTATGTGTTTTCGATAAAGTGCTAGCCATAGTGTACAAGAACAGGCATGGTAACATTTTTAGACTTCTATGATTTGGTGGATGATTTCTGGAGTTGCACTCATAAAAAAACAAACTTGAAGGTCCAATGACAGTAAAAAGTGCTTCGTCTTGTTCTTACCAGTTACAGTCACATGGGATGAGCTCCTCTGCTCTGCGGTGTCACACGTGTAGTCACCAGAATCTTCTGGTTTTGCATTCAGGATGAGAAGCTCCACCACGGTGCCTTGTTGCTTGATTTGGTACTTCTCACCACTCACCAAAACCTGGTCATCCTTCGTCCATTTGACGGGGGCTCCGGCCTTGCTGAGTTCACAATGTAGCTTCACCGTGCTGCCTTCTTTGGCCTTCTCGTTGCGGAGGCCTCGTTTGAACAAGACCTGAACAGCTGCAGAGAAAGGAACATCATTCATTTGGATCCTTTACAGAGGGTGGAAACCTTTTGGCTCTGTTTCTGTCCATTACTGATACTGATCAGAAAACATTAATGTGCTGTTATCCTGTAAGCGGTCCTTCAGGTTCTTAAAGTGGACCTAGCAACATATATATATCAGTAACGTGCGGTGCCTTCCGTGCTGGCTGAGGCATGCCCCCAGCACGCCTAAGTGCCGCCCCATCCCACCAAAGCCCCACCCCCAACTCGGTAACCAAGCTATGTGTGGAGGAGGGAGGGAGGAGACAGGGAGGAGCCTTCCTGTCCCTCACTTGCACGTCACTGGTCAGGGCATCAAGATCGATAACCTCAGTAGGTTTTTTCTTTTTATTGATTAGACAGCTTGAACCAATGCCGTTGGTCCAAACCATCTACAGAGCTCACGCCTCTAACACAGAGTAGAGGCTGTGACAGCTCTTGCCTCACTATGTTAGGTTACACAAGCAGCGGGGAAGCCGGCTGCTGTGTAACCTAACTAGCTGTCAAAAGCCGGATGCAGCGCCGTCTGTAATTAATAGGCGGTGCTCCGTCCATGACAGGATACACCGCGGAGAGGATTTCCTTGCTCTGTAACCTGATAGAAGCCGATCTGAATGGAGAAAAAGCTGTCAGCTTCACACTTGAAGCTGACAGCTTTTTCCTCCATAATACTAGGTGAAGCTCTGCCTCCCCTGACCGCACGTCCCTGATATATATCTTATGTTAAAGCTAAATTCCAGGCAGGTATAAAAGACACAAATTAATGCAGCTCCGTATTCATGAATACATCCTGAACTGTATTTTTTAAATTAAGACATATTGAATATAAAAATTGTTCCATCACGCAAAAACAATTTGAATTTTTAATTTTTTTATACCTTTTTGGAATATTTTTAATTATGCATTTTTTTAATTTTATTGTATTATTATATTTTATTATTATATTTATTATTTTATTTGTAATTAAAATGGTAAGTTTTTTTTAAATAAAAATTCTAAATGTTTTTGTGTGATGGAACCTAAAAACTCCTATTTTACATGTTCAATATGTCTTCATTTCTAATAGAGCTGTGGCGCTGTAATAATACATCAACCCAGACCACTTTATGACTTGTATAATTGTATTTATTAAATGCAAACAGTATAAGTTACCTAATTTGACTTGATTTTAGCCTCTTGGAGCCCTATACAGCAGAGGTCAGGCTGCAAGAGGGAGAGGCAGGACAAGAGTCAATCTGTTGTGCTGCAGTGCATGGAGCATGTTGATGGGAGAAAAAGGCAGCGTGACAAAGACATGAGCTCATCAGTGTGCTGCTTCTCATTTCCCAGTTCAGTCAAAGGTTGGTGGCTAGTTCACACCGTGCATTCCAGGCCGATTGGTGCCGGAACGCACTGGAACGCATTCTGGCCAGCTCACTTTGTTTTGGGGTGGGAGGGGGCGTGACAGTCCATTTAACTCAATGGCACTGCAGCCACGCCCTCCGGCTGCAATGCGATTGGCTGCATGGGAACGCGTGGCACATCAGGGCCTGCGTTCCAGTCCGATGTAGTCAGAAAAAATTATGCGTGCACTACTTTTTCTGACTGCACCAGCCGGAACGCAGGCACTAATGTGTCATGTGTTCCCATGTGGCCGATCGCATTGGGGCCGAAGGGCATGGCTGCGGTGCTATTGAGTTCAATGCAGTGCCACGCCTCCTCCTGCCCCAAAACAAAGTGAGCCAGGTGGAATGCACTGAGGATGGTGTTAACTAGCCCTAAGTCTTATTAGGCTGCAGTAGGTCTCCTTCCCCACCACATAGGGATGTGCTGTGCTGTGTAAATCTCAGAACTGGATGGTCTCAAATACAAATCTTCTAATGTGGACACCTGTTCTTCTGACAACTGTTCAAGATGGGATGTTCCCTCACTTTGGAGAGATTTGTTCTGCACAGGAGGAAATGCCAACGCAGAGATGCACCCTCTCTTTTTGTGTTGGTGGCCAATGTTTCCGGAAACAGAGAGTGAGAGGAAACCAGAAATTGTCACTGAATCAAAATTAAAGGGGAAATCTTCCAATGTGGACACCTGTTCTGGTGACAACTGTTCAAGATTTCCCTCACTTTGAAGAGATTTCGTCCCGCACAAGAAGTGAAGGCAAATCTCATCAACCTAGGTGCCCAAAAACCCAATGGAGGTTCCAACCATTCCTAAGCCTATCGAAACCAAAAAAACTAAAAAAATGTTTTAGCTTAGATATACTTTATGGTTGCATTTCAGTTCAGAGTGAATTCCCCTTTAATTCCCCTACATACTCAGAATTAATTTTTGAAATGAATATTTGTGGATATAGTGTTTTAATTAGAAATTAATTTAACGAACCTTTCACTGTTAAGGTGGCAGAAGATTTTAGCTCTCCGGTTTCGCAGGTGTAGGTTCCAGAGTCTTCTTGGGTCAGGTTATGGACAAGTAACTCCACCCTGCGGTCTTTTGCCTTCATCTTGTACTTGCTGCTGGACGTCAGCAGCTTGCTGTCCTTCTTCCACTGCACCTGGGCTTTCTCATTGGACAGCTCGCAAAAAAGAATCGCTGTTTCACCTTCCGCGACCTCTGCACTTTGTACTTCACGCTTGAAGTAAGCCTGAACCTCTGAAACATGAAAAAGATCAAATGTTACAGAAGAAAAGCAGAGGAAACACAGGAACATTACTGAGCTGAAGATGATGATTGAAGAGGGTGAGGTACATACAGACCTCAGAACAGAGCCGTAGCTGGCTCCTTTTGCGGCCGAGGCAAGAACAGAAAATTGTGCCCTCCAACAGACGTGTGCGGTATGCAACGTCATGCACATGCCTCCAGGATGGCGGCCCGAATGCGCAGAGAACTAAAATTGCATAAAAAAATGTTTTGCTTGACGAAACTAATGACATTTTTTTTCGTTTCCATTAATTTCGTCCAAAACAAATTTTTAGTCTTTGCACATGTTTAGCAATATGCGTGCATGAGTGTAGCCAATGGCGCCCTGCGCTCACCATGGCAACAGGGCGGAGGTGCGCAACCAGCCCAGCCCTGGCTGCGCCCCCCTCTCAGCTGCACCTGAGTCGAGTGCCTCACTCGCCCCATGGTAGCTCCCCATGGTAGCTACAGCCCTGCCTCAGAAGATCAGAGTTGTAATGCGAAGGGGCAACTTTTTTTACATCTCAAAATAAATAATTTTGGAAAATTGAAAGGTCACATAAATGGGATAGTCCTCTTTATTCTTAATGTCTTTAAAGTCTGCTTCTCCCATCAGTGGAAAGCAGGAGTCACCAGCACTCTGTAAATATCTTTGATGTCCATTTAATCGGACCAATCGTCAATTGTCATGTACAAAATAGCGACGTTTCGGGACCGCACAGGATCCCTTCATCAGGGCGACAATGTACAATGTCACCCTGATGAAGGGATCCTGTGCGGTCCCGAAACGTCGTTATTTTGTACATGACAATTGGTCCGATTAAATGGACATCAAAGATTTTTACAGAGTGCTGGTGACTCCTGCTTTCCACTGTTTGTTGCACGGTGCCATCCGTGATTGTCACTGCGAACACCACTACAAGTACTTGGGCCGGGAACACTGTGAGGAGTGCAGAGGGACCTACTATTTTCTATGTTTATCCCATCATACATAATATGGTTGCTCTCTCATTGTATCAAACACCTAAAATAACAATGGCTCTATATATGGTTTCAGCAAGGACAACAGAAAAGTCATAAATATCAAACCAAAGAAACCAAAAAACATGAGAATTGTCGTTTTCTCCATTAATTTCTACACTTGGACTAACACTTTTGGACGCTATTTTCTACTCTCGGTCAAGTCGGAAAGATATAAGAGTGACTGTAGACACTGCCTCCCCAATCCACACTCGGCAGGCCAGTACAACACTCAGTTCAGGATTGTCCATTTAAAATTAGCATAGGGGTGATAAGAAGGACTTCCAACCATCAGAAGTGCTTATCTGTAAAAAGTAAGTCAAGGCAACTGGACTTGCTGTATTTTTCTTGAAGACATTTCACTGGTCATCCAACCGGCTTTCTCAATTCAGAATGACTTGTACAAAAATTCTCTGGGAATAAATACGGTGAATGTCGCTCCAATCCACATAATCTGTTAGTGGCAACCAGGTGTTGATTGCATTTGCATAATTGGAGTCCAGGAGGTGTTAAAACAGCATTGTAGGTGGCAGACAATTTCACTTGGGTGTTCTTTCTATTAGTACTGAGCCAACACACAACATAAAATGGATTATAACAACAAATGGCAGAAAAAAAATCAACATTAAGAGCAAGAAAACTAATGCAATAATTAAAAGTAACGTATCCATTAAAACTAATGCCTTTCTCTATTGATAAAGAAATACAGTGTATGTGACTATCCAATGGCCTTTTAACAGCCCGGTGGCATATTTTTACATAAGAGGCTTAACTGTATTTAACGACAAGTAGACGATTTGTAAGAACATTGAAAACTGCCATTTTTTTTTAGATTTGTCAAGAGTTTCATGCATACTTGAATGAAAGAAAGTTGTTAAATGAAGATGAAGAGACTTGATGCGGAAGTTACAGGGAGAAAATGCATACTCTAGATGTAGTTTAGTTTCTGGGACACAAGATTAGTTAATCAGTCCGGGTTCTTCTTTTCCCAGGAGGCAAACCAACACGCCATCTAAATGTGCATAGCAGCAGATTCGAGTAAGAACTTAACAGAAAATGCAACATGGGACCTTCCAATTTTAGGGGAAAAGGGAACTGGATGTCCTCAAACATTTTCTAGATCTCCACAGCAGCAGTGAGGTAATACATTCTTCATAAATGCAACCAAAATATACAGTATATTGCCAAAAGTATTCGGGCGCTGGCCTTTACACGCACATGAACTTTTATGGCATCCCAGTCTTAGTCCGTAGGGTTTAATATTGGGTTGGCTCCGTCCTTTGCAGCTATAACAGCTTCAACTCTTCTGGGAAGGCGTCCACAAGGTTTAGGAGTGTGTCTATGGGAATGTTGGACCATTTGTGAGGTCAGGTACTGATGTTGGGCAAGAAGGCCGGGCTCGCAGTCTCAGCTCTAATTCATCCCAAAGGTGTTCTATGGGGTTGAGGTCAGGACTCTGTGCGGCCAGTCAAGTTCCTCAACCCCAAACTTCCCCATCCATGTCTTTATGGACCTTGCTTGTGCACTGGTGCGCAGTCATGTTGGAACAGGAAGGGGCCGTCCCCAAACTCCTCCCACAAAGTTGGGAGCATGAAAATTACAAAATGAGTTATGAAGATACAAAAACATTGTCTTGCTTTTGGGTAAACAAAAAGATCTTCTTCATTCCATGGAGAGACAGAGAAATTCAAAAAGTCGATCATCTGTGTTTATTGGTATTCTTTGTTCATTTTTCAGTTCCAGACATGCAAAAATACAATGTATCTACGTTGTAGTCATGGTCTGGGCTGCTGACACCCAGCTATAACAAAAATAAAAAAAATTGTAGTTTTTGATCTGCTGATCTCTTGTTTTTTTACTTGAAAAGTTGCAATTATCTGCTGAGTTCCCACCAAGGTCAAGAATTAGTTCTAAATTAGATATAAAACATTCTTCTTGTCTTACCCTTCACAGCAAGAACTGTGCTACTCTTGCCAGTCCCTTGTTCGCAGACATATGTGCCACTGTCTTTGTTGGTTACATCACATATGACCAGCGTGTTCTCACATCCGGATCTAGTTATCTGATATTTTGAAGAACTACGAACCACTTTCCCATCTTTATACCAGGAAACAGACTCATTAGGTTTTGAGGTTCTGCAAGTAATTGTTGCACTTTCCCCCTGAGACACTTCCAAATCGGTGATGGAAGGTTTCTCTAGAATAACATGAAATTAACATTTCAGAAATTTTGTAAGATAGAATTTTCCGGCGGATGCACCAAATTCTAATTTTAAGATATGTCAGGACACTAAATTCCTTATTTTCGATAACAAAAAGCAATTTCAGAATTTCAATTCTAAATACTAACATTGTATATTTACTTTTTCTGAAGACATAATTCTTTTTGGATGCCTCTGTAAATTAAACTTTAGATATGAGGACATCTGTTTCATAACTGCCGGCAGAATCCACTTTGGATAATTAGGTTAAAAACAAATCCTGGATTTGACAAAGTCGTAAAAAGTTTTGGCAAGCAACATTTTGACACAGCAATTTTTTGAAGACATTTTGTAAATCTGAATATTTGTAAACAGTTAGCTGTATTAAATGTTTAACCCTTTCGCTGCCAAGCCCTCCGGAACATTTTTCAAATCAGCTGGCCAAGCCATTTTTGAATTTTCTGCAATTTTTTCCTATTGATTTGATTTTCAACTGCTGCGTTGCTAGCGTTTGTAAAAGACCCCCCAAACCATATATTTTCTGAAAGCGCAGGCCCGGTAGAATAAAAAGATGGTGATACTAAATTTGTAGGCCCTGCGATAATTGCACAAATGTTTCTCAAATTAATATTAAACCGATAAAAATACACAATTCAATTGTTAAAACACACCAAAATCAGTATCCGTGCACAAAAAAAAATATTTTTTGACTAAATCTAAAAGATAAAACTGTATTGAGTTAATGAGTGACAATCACTCGCCTCATAGTTCTCGTTTAAATGCTATCAGTTACATTGAAAAGAAGTGACGTTTACAAGCACAATTGGTGAAATTAAGTGATTTTTTTAGAATTTAGACTTTGCTCATCCTCTATTACATTGATCTAGACCATGCATTCGCCTGCCGTTACCTTTCACTAATAGTTTTACAGATGATTTTTGGTCACCAGCTTCAAATGTGACCACACCAGAGTCCTTGGCCCCCAGCTGCTTGAGCGAGAGCGTGTGGTAGCCCCCCGGAAGTGACTGAACTTCATTGATTTTGTTGGTATGTAACGGGGTTTTATCCAGGAACCAGTGCACTTTCCCATAATTTGCCGGAGAGATTCTACATTTAAAAGTTGCAATTTCCCCTTCGTAGACTTCAACATCTTCAAGATCTTCTACTACGAGAACCTTGTGGCCTAAAACGAATACAGAAGGTGAGAAATGGAGGTCCTGGAATGAGGCAGCCTGTGAGACTTGTGGATTTTCAGAAATTGGGTAATCTTCAAACCTCTTCATTATTCTCTCTGAAAAACTTTGACGTTCTCCTCAATTGTTACAGGAGGTGGAGACGTACAACAAAATCACACCATACAATAAGCCAGCCAGCACGAACATAGACATACATGTGACAATGTGAATTTGTGCGCTTTTGTTAAAGCAAAAATAGTTAATACAATTTAAAGAACGAGTCTTGGAGGAAGCAGATCTTGACATATGGACCATATGACTGGGCTGATAAATTTAGGCTATGAAGAGGGTTAAGGGATGTGGTGTGGGCACCTAGAGGGGAAAGATTTTACCTTGAAGGAAGAAGTTGGTCAGAAGAAGCAGATCTTGGTTGATTCCAAGAGGTTGGCTCTGGAGTACCCTTCTGCAGAGATCTGCAGAGCTGGAAAGTCCCGATCACCTACCCTCTTTGGTTGAGTTACTTTTGGGCAGGTTAGTTGTCATGGCCTCCAGGCAGGTAGTAGGTCTTTTGTGTTTACAAGAACAGAAAGGTGGTTTTGGTAAAGGCAGTATGTCGGATGGTATGAAGCCCTATTGCTTTGTTGGTTGTCATGGTGCCCCTAGGGCTCAGTTCCCAGGAAATTATTTGTGCATTAGCAAGAGGTCTTGAAGCTGTTGAGGTCCTCAAGATGATATGGTTTAGGTATGATTTCTTTAATGAACCAAAGGCCCCCTTCCTGGCTACTTCACAGTAAGCTAGTTAGATACAACCGTAAAATGTTAATATAATATTGGATTATTTTATGTTCAATAAAGAGGCTGCTATGGCCTGTTTGACCTAATGTCATGCAGTCTGGTGTATTTTTGTTGTTGTAGAGGCAGACAAGGGCATTAACGGTGAATCATTCAGTCGTAAACATTTAACCTGAGACAAAATGTTCATTATTTAAATGTTTTAGCACTTTCATGGTTATTTAGTAACAACTGGACATTCCACAACAAAACATTATCACTGCACACTATGAAAAAATGCATGCCCCACCGAATCTCAAATTCACCCGAATTATGGAATTAGTTTCAAGGGCATAAAGATGGGAATTTCAGGTATGTGACATGTTATGACATATGCAAATTCAGTAGTTTCAGTTGCTGTGACATCACATGCTTTTGCTATAATTACTGTAGGTCATTACCAATGGCTTATTATGACAATGTGGTCTTATGGGTGTAGCGCCCTCTGCTATGTCGCTACTAAATGTAGTGTATATCTGGACTGTAATCAGTCTGGATGCTGATTGCTCTGAGTTCTGCTGGATTCCCTGATTCTGGTGGATTGATTGTTTCCCCCTGTTGCTGGGTTGGGGACTCAGCATACAGTGTGGGAGGATCAATCATCAAACTGTGACTATGCATCTGACTCTGACCAATCCCTGAGCAGGCTGACTCAGACGTATGGCTGGAGGAAGGTGATAAATGTTTGGGGACACCTTCCAGAACTCTCTCTCTCCCCTGGGGCCCTCCCTGGGAGGAGCTCTGTGTGCTGCAGGATGCCTGGTCTAGGCCTCAGATGCTGGGGGGCCCAGAGACCTTAAATGCTACTGGAAAGGAACCTGATGGAAGCTGAGCTGGAGATGGAATCTGCTCATTGAAGAGTGTCGCAGAGGAGCTGATGAGAGTTACCGTCTGGACCCTGTAAGAGATCCCTCACCCTATTCTCAGGTAATATACTGAAGAGAAGCCAGTTGGTGAACTACAAGTCCTGTGACAGTTCTCCTTCAAAGTCCTGGACTATTCCTGGCTGTTCTCTGTGCTACTACATGTTACTGGTCAATCATATAGGACCGTTGTGCTACTGTTTCAAGCTGTTTCTAAGGGAGAAGACAGAGTCCTTTAAATTGTTACTCGGGTATCCTGCAACCCCAACCCTCTCTCCTAGTTGATCCTGTGCAATAAATGCTAAAAAGACCCTACGACTCAAGCCTGTTCTGTTCCAGAGTGTCAGTGTTGCTGGAGCTGAGAAAGAGGAGCCGGTGGCTGGCAAAACAGTTAGGAGAGCCCTAGTTCATATCCAGCGGCTCCTTCTGGGGCGAGCGCTACAGGGGCAACCCACAAATTTTACAAAAAAAATGCATCTAATGCTTTTTCTCAGTGGCTGCAAAACTACAGCTGGCTCAATTATCAACCATATCATTCAGTGCTTCTCGGAACCCCTGAATATTATAATTTTGTAGGACACTTTGAGTGCTTATTATACACAAAGCTGCATAGAATAATAACGTTTCATAAAAGAATAATAATCTGTGTATAGGCAGTGCTTGCTAGCCATGAGCCAATCCACTTACCTTTCACAGAGAGAGTTGCCTTAGTCTGGGCATCCCCAATATCACATATGTAGGTGTCGCTGTCACTCTTCTCCAGGTCGCTCACAGTCAGGCTGAGGACATTGCCTTTCTGAGTCATCTCGAATTTCTTAGAGGGCTTGAGTTCAGAAATGCCTTTCCTCCATTTTACAGTTGCAGCATGTTTCTCGGTCTCACAGGTGAATACGGCCTCCTCCCCTTCCTCGGCCTTGACCTCAGAGATCTCTTTGGTGAATCGGTTGGGTTTTTCTGTCGAAAAATAAATCGGGTGTAAATGTTATTCGCAAAATCTCACCTCACTTTTGTGTTTTGCATAAAATGTGGAACTAGAGATAAGCGGACTTTTGATAAGTTTGATCAGTTATTAGGGATGCACCGATACCAGTTCAGATACCAGTGCCGATACTTGGCATTTTCATGAGAACTACCAGGGATGCAGCGGTTGCAGCTGGGAACGGGCTCTGGCGCTCCACCACTGTCCTGAAATCATTAGTCTGTATTGTTTTAGAAAACCTGTCACATGACACTAAACAAAAATGTATCAGTACTTGTACTTGGACAAATGGTATCGGTGCATCCTTTATAAATGTTTATAAAAACAAAATCAAACATTAAAACAAAGATGTAGAAATCCCAGGAGCTCCGTGTGCTCCTTCCAATTGACAGCTGTCTCCTAACTTGAATTTTTCTCTACTCTAGTCTTGGAGCTCAAAAAGTATCTGTACTTGTACTTGTACCGAGTACGGTACTTGGTATCGGGGCATCCCTATCAGTTTTGCCTCAGATGAACTTTTAAAAAATTTGTGAACCTCCAAAAATTAGGAATTTCCATATTCTGGCTCCTCCAGTCTTAGTAAATTCCCCTAATTATGTTTTCACTGTATTGGCCCTATGACCAGTACTCCAGAATACACTCACTAAGTCCTAGGGGAGAACACATGTGTGATGTCATCTACCTGTGATCTGGACGGCGGCTTTGGTCTTGGAATCAGCAGTCTCACAGATGTATTCTCCGGCATCTTTGGATGATGCTTCATGGATGATCAGTCTGCTCTCCATCCCCTCTTGAAAGATCTCATATTTCTGGCTTCTCTTTACCACTTTGCCATCCTTGGTCCATTTAATGTTAGTCTCTTCTGCAGAAAACTCACACTTCAAGATGATGTCTTCTCCAGCACCAACAGTCTTATCTTCAAGAGGCTTTGTGATAACAGCTGGCTTTCCTGGAAGACACAGGATTGGGCGAGGATGAGGCGTGTAAAACTAAACATTGTCATTTTGTCTTGTTAGACAATACAAGATACAATATTTGCTAAGTATTTGGAGTCTACATTGTGAAAAAATTATCAAAAAATTGGAATGGGATAACAAAAATAAAATAATAATTTTGGTTCAGTGAGGGTTAAAGCCCAATTGACAGACAGCCAATGGATAGGGTGTAAAAGGTTTAGGACCACTGCCAGGTTTTATTCGGGAGACTTATTTGGGAGATTTCTCCTTAGTTTTTGTCTTTGTCAGACTGATTTCTCTACTTCCTAAGAATGCCATGTCCCACATTCACATCTGACAGGACCTAGGCAGGAGTGTCTCTGGATGGAGCCACAGGTATATTCTCGGGCCCACATTTTTCTTGTCAGTGGCCCCGTGGAGAGTAGATCCCTCTACCCCACCATCCCTCCCCCCCTCTTCTTAACCATAGATATCACCATGAACCTATTACCTTTTTTGCCCCGCCTGGCCAATCAGGAATCCAGGCGGCGTGTAATGACTCGCCGTCCAGATCCCTGATTGGTCAGGAAGCTGGCCAATCGGGAAGCCAGGCGGCGAGTTATGATCAGCCCCCTGGATTCCTGATTTGCCAGAAAGCCGGCTCCATGCTTCCTCGTCTTCCCGGCTAATCCGGAAGTTGGGCGGCGAGTCATTACATGCTGCCTGGCTTTCTTAATGGGATCTCCGGTATCGGCGAGTACTGAAAAAAAATATCGGTACTCGTACATGATACAGAAAAACCTAATCGGTGCATCCCTAAGTTTGTGTCGCCATTGGGAATATACAAAATTCCCAACCCTACCCACACTGCTATACAAGAAGTGAAGCGAAATCTCCCCAGTATTCACCAAGATGGCAATTAAAACCTGAGAGGCCATTTAAAGCCTATTGCACGCTAAATTTAATTTTGTCTTCCTTATTGCCGCATAAACATTTCACTTAATTGGTGACATTTCACCAAAATTTCCTGAATTTGTCAAAATTTCAAGGGAGAGAAAACTTTAATTCTACATCTTTACTTCTATTGAAAATAGAACATTTACAGGTTTTACGCTTCTACAGTAGGGATTGACTTAACATCCACTGTGTTTAAGCAGTAGTAGTGATCTGTAATGAGTTACTTACCTTTGACACTTAAGAAGGCCTTGGAAGATAAGTTTCGGACCGTGAAGACCACATCACCGGCATCACTGGCTTTCACCTCCTTGATGTTCAACGAGTATTTCCGGCCCTTATTGGACACCTCAAACCTCTGGTCATTCTCCACTTCCAGCCCGTTTACTGTCCAGTAGCATTCATCTATACTCTCGTGAGACAGGACACACTCGAACGTACAGCTCTCTCCTTCTTTCGCCTCAGTGCCCTTGAGGCGTTTTGTGATTCCGATATTGAGTTCTGTAAAAGAAAATTGCAATCGTGAAACAAACAGTAAAATTAAAATACTGGATGGGTCGTTTGCAGATTGCCATTTAATAAAGGGGAACACATCAACATCAGATAAATGGCTATAAGGCAGCATCTGTAGAAATTACTTCCTGTCAGCAAAAGAAACAAACCAAATTGAGTCCTTTTGTTGGGAAATTAAATCCTAGACTACCCCACATACACTATATTGCCCTGTGTGAACCCATTCCAAATGTGTTGGTTTAGGTGTTTACAGTGAAGGGTAATTTTATTACTACTACATAATACAAAGACATTTAAACAATCGTGCTCTTTCAACCATGTGGCAACAGTTTGGCGAAGGTCCTTTTCGATTCTAGCATGACTGCCCCCTGTGTACAAAGCCAACTACATATAGACATGGATGAGTGAGTTTGGGGTGGAGGAACTCAAGTGTCCTGCACAGAGCCATGACTTCAATCCTACTGAACACCTTTGGGATGAATTGTACCTGACCTCACAAATGTTCTTTTGGCTGAATTAAACCTTGATTGATAGTCAGGTCTTCTCATCTCAACATCATAACTAAAGATCTATATAGAGGAATCAGGACCTCCTCCCCCCTGCTGGGGATCCCTCTAGTGATAACTAAAGATCTATATAGAGGAATCAGGACCTCTTTCGCCCTGCTGGGGATCCCTCTAGTGATAATAAAGATCTATATAGAGGAATCAGGACCTCCTTCCTCCTGCTGGGGATCCCTCTAGAGATAACTAAAGATCTATACAGAGGAATCAGGACCTCCTTCCTCCTGCTGGGGATCCCTCTAGTGATGACTAAAGATCTATATAGAGGAATCAGGACCTCCTTCCTCTTGCTGGAGATCCTTCTAGCAATAACTGAAGATCTATATAGAGGAATCTGGGCCTCCGTCCTCCTGCTGGAGATCCCTCTAGTGATAATAAAGATCTATATAGAGGAATCAGGACCTCCTTCCTCCTGCTGGGGATACCTCTAGTGATAACTAAAGATCTATATAGAGGAATCAGGACCTCCTTCTTCCTGCTGGGGATCCCTCCAGTAATGTACCTCACAATTATTTTTCCTTTCTCCACTGCCAAACCAAAATGCTTGCTCATTTTGCAATCATCTGAATTTCTGCTCACTTAATAGTCACACATAAAGGACAAAGGATATGTTTGATACAGTACCTTGTACTCCAACTTTGGACCTGGCTACATCAGTTCCAATGTCACAGACGTACAGTCCAGCATCGGACTTGTTCAGGTTGTGGATAACAAGAGAGACCGTCTTCCCGGCCTGCATCTGTTGGTACTTGTCTCCTTTCGGCAGGACCTGGTCATCCTTCTTCCAGACTGGTGTGACGTTGGGTTTAGAGACTTCGCATTTTAACGTGATCATTCCTCGCTCATCGCCCACTGCATCATCCAACGATTTCATGAACACTGCCGGCTTTTCTACCGAGGATAAAGCCAACCCACAAAGCTCACTAACACAATAATAGTTGCTATGCAATGATATAAAACGGTTTACACATTATGCTTAAACATATTGCACTGCAAGTACAGAAAAATACCTGTTGGTCACTGCCAGAAATAGAATGGACTCCTAACATCCTGCAGTGCTGTCAGCCCAGCCCCATTCTCCCCTGCTGAACTACAGACCCCCCCCCCCTGCACTCTCCTATTTTATGGATATGAGGAGAGGGGGAAGAGGGAGTTCACTTGACTTCTGGCAGGATCAAGCCTTATTTTACAAGCCTGCTGTCTATTAACAGAGTCACAGACAGCAATAAAAATCAAATGACAGAAATGTCAAAACTAAAAGAAACAATTTGGTTGTATTTAGCATGAAATAGTTGATATTGGTATACATTTGTTCTAAATGACGCTTCAAACACCGTCCACTCACCTTTAACTTTGAGTTCTGCGTTGAGCGAGAGTTTTGCGGTCTTCAAGGCCACGGTGCCAGAGTCCTGGGCCGCCACCTGTTTTAGTGTCAGCGTGTGGCAGCACCCGATCTTCTTGATATCATTGTAGTTGTTTGTGTACAGCAGGGTGTTGTTCAGGAACCATTCCACTTCTTCATCATCATGAGAGAGCTCACAAGAGAAGACCGCGCTGCCCTCTTCATCTACTTCCACATTGGCCAGAGGCTTCAGGACCTTCACGTCACGAGCTACAGGAGAAATAGAGAAAGATTGAGAGAGGGAGAGGAAGAGAAAAGAGAGAGAGAAAGGATAGGAGAGAGAGAAGGAGAGAGGGGTAGGAAGAGAAAAGAGAGAGAGGATAGGAGAGAGAGAAGGAGAGAGGGGTAGGAAGAGAAAAGAGAGAGAGAATAGGAGAGAGAGAAGGAGAGAGGGGTAGGAAGAGAAAAGAGAGAGAGAGGATAGGAGAGAGAGAATGAGAGAGGGGTAGGAAGAGAAAAGAGAGAGAGGATAGGAGGGAGAGAAGGAGAGAGGGGTAGGAAGAAAAAAGAGAGAGAGGATAGGAGAGAGAGAAGGAGAGAGGTGTAGGAAGAGAAAAGAGAGAGAGGATAGGAGGGAGAGAAGGAGAGAGGGGTAGGAAGAGAAAAGAGAGAGAGAGAGAGAGGATAGGAGAGAGAGAAGGAGAGAGGGGTAGGAAGAGAAAAGAGAGAGAGGATAGGAGAGGAGAGAGAGAAGGAGAGAGCAAGAGGGAAGAGAGAGCGAGAAAGAGGGAGGAGAGAGGGAGAGATCGATAGAGAGAGGGAAAGCAAGAGAGAGTGTGAGAAAAAGAGGAGAAACAGAGAGGAGAGAAAGATGAGATAAAAGGAGAGGTGGGTGAAGGAGAGTGGCAGAGCGGAGAAAGAGATAGCGGAGAAAGAGGAGAGATAGAGAGATGGACTTTATAGCAAGTTTTTTTCTTGAACTCTGAACTTAAACATGTCTAAGGAGGTTAATGAAGTGTTGAACTTGGCCAACTTGTCTTCTATCTGTCTTCTATCTGTGGTCCCTTGCTAACTCACTAAGCGACCTTTATCCATACCTTGTACGTGAAGTGTTGCTGAAGTCTCAGTGCTTCCAGCTTTACAGGTATACACACCGGCATCTTCAGGGCTCACCCTTACAATTTTCAGCTCTGCCAGGTTCTTCTCCTGCATTAGTTTGTACCTCTCCGATGGCTCAATGACCGTCTTCCCTCTGTACCATTCCACAAACTTTGGAGGGGGTTTGAATTCGCAGGACAAGATGCATGTCTGACGCTCGTTGACGGTCTTGTCTTCAAGTTTTTGTGACACCTGAACAGGTATTTCTAAAACAAAGGCAGAGTGATTGTATTAGGGGTCCTGGTATTTTGTCGATTGGTTGATACAGAATATGGAATGATGTATACAGGCTCATTCAATGTTTAGACGTAAGAAGCAATGATAAAGCAGATTATGAATTAGTGCTTCCAAGAGCTCAGCGTAGGAGGGGTTATTTTCAGCACCAATATATCTGCACCAAGGTAAATTTGGTCTTTAAAGTGAACCAGACCCAACCTTAAATGATTTAAGGTAAGTACTGTGCTGCAATGCTGGTAACTTGAGGATATCAAGTATACAATATGGCCAAATGTTTGTGGAAACCTGACCATCACACCTATAGGAGCTTGTTGGACATCCCATTCAAAAACCAAGGGCATTAATATGGAGTTGGCATCTCCTTTGCAAATATAATATACTCCACTATTCTTGGGAAACTTTCTACAATATTTTGAAGTATGTTTATGGGAATTATTGCCCATTTGTGAGGTTAGGTAATGATGTTAGATGAGAAGACCTGACTCTCAAAGACCTTGACCTTCCAATGATGGGCTCTGTGCAGGCCAGTGGAGTTGCCACAAGGGATCAACACATCAGCACTGTTGTTACCTTAAAAACACTTTAAGGAACGTATGTAAGTGTGGTGGTCAGTTGTTCACAAACCTTTGGTCATGTAGCGTGTGTAATTTTTGGTTTGGCCCATAGCTCCACTTTAATTACTTTAATAAATGTATATCAGCACAAACGCTGGAGATCAAGTTACCTTTTACCACCAGATTTGCAGTCGATTTGGATTTTCCAATATGGAATTGAATTGCTCCAGTCATCTCTGGAGACGTTTTCCAAAAGATCAGACGGTGGACGGTTCCTTCTTGCTCGATCGCAACGTCTTTTCCATCATGAAGGACTTCGCCGCCTAGAATCCATTTTGCTGGCTTGATGGACACAATAGACGTCACGCATTCAAATGTGGCCTTCTCGGGTTGTGTCACCTCTACGTCGCTCAGTTCGTTTACAATGTTGATAGATTGTTCTTTAAAAAGATAAGAAGGAATAGTTATTTCCGAGTCATTCCGATCAACATGAGAATGAATAACTCTACAAATGCTTGCAGGTAACCCATTCAACCAATCCAGGGTTTCTGTCCAGTGTGGCAGTGTAAGCCAATGCCACGGTGTAGTTTGGCAACTGTGGCACCCAGGACTCTCAGCCAGAGGGGCTGAGAGGGTCCAGAGAGTAAACCATTATATAAGGAAGAACCTGGCCTTCCAGATTCCTCCAGGTTTTCAGAATTGTAACTGGGATCTGGAGATTTCTTAGAGCTCTGGGTGGGAGGAAATCTCCAGTCCTGGGGCAAGGTGTTGCTAATGAGCAGCCTGGGCTGATCAGGTGGCTGAGAGCAGCCTCATTGCGAATAAGAAGCCAGCCCAGAGCTCATTGTGTGAGAGTTGTGTGGGTGCAGGAGGCACAGAGCACAGCAGACTCAGGTGAGTGCTGGACACGTTGAACAGCCAGGGAAGGCTGGGAGAGGTCGGGAAGGTGGGTGACCCTAGGACCTGTGGGACACACTGCTGAGAGAGCAGAGTGAGGGCTCACGTGGGGTGAGCAGTGTGAGTTTCTTGGAGCTGTGGAAAGCTACAGAGCAAAACTAAAAGACTGTCCTTTATGTTGCTGCTAGAAACTGTCTTGTGCAACAGGGGAGGTCTACCCTGTGGAAGGAACGAGATGTTTGGTGTTTGCCCATAATAAAACTGCATTTTACTTGCAGCTCCTGTCTACAGTGGAGTGTCCTTGTTACACCAGGTATCGGTGTAGCAGCCACCTCACTGCTTAAACTTTCCCTCTACCATCAGTAAAGTCACCACTATAATCTAGTGTAAATCTTACACAGTCTCTTGCTAAGAGAGTGACTATAAGAGAAAGAGAATAAAGGACAGACTTGTACAGAGAGGTACTGCAGTACAATGCAGATGTCTGTATCTTATTGATGGGAATTCCGTTATAGTCAATAGACGCAATCGAGCATGTGCAACAACGTCTATCTCTCAGCTTGTAATAGAAAACACAAGTAGGGAATTTATTGAAACAGTGTACCAAATAAAAGCCTTTAATGTTCTTAAAAAACAAAGTAAAGATAATTAAGATAGGCAAACAGAGTTGATGTCAAGTAAACCAACCTATGCTGGCGTTGCTAAATTTGGGCTTCTAGCCTTTTATCGCCTCTGGTCATAAAAGGTTAAAGTGTACGTAAAGCAAAATGTTTTTTTTCAGTTTTGGATAGAGTAGGGAAGGCTTAAAACACCTTTCAGGTTATTTTTATGTCTGCGTGTATCCTGAAGATGCATGGAGACCAACAGGAAATGAGAAGAAACTCCCCGAACTGATTGGATTTCCCATCTAAGGGTCCCCACACACCTTACGATAATCGTACGATAATCCCTGGAAATCCCGTGATCGTACGATGATCGTAAGGTGTGTGGAAGCCGTGCGACCTCTACTACTGTAAGGTCGCACGACTTTAAACTTACGGACATGTTCGAAAACCCGCCGAGCATCGTACAATGTTCGGCGGGTTTGTGGCATGTCCGTGCGATAACAGCCGTACGGGCCGGTGTGCGCAAGCGCACACTGCCCGTTCGGCATTGCGGTCATCGGAAGCCCGCCCCTCAGGGGGCGTGGCTTGCGATCATCGCAAGTACGATCTGCCTATGCAACATAGGCAGGTCGTACGTTTTTTTAAGTACCTTACAACCATCGCAAGACAAAAGTCTTGCGATGGTTGTAAGGTGTGTGCCCAGCCTTAGACAGTTGTCACCAGAACATTTGTCCCCTTTGGAAGATTTACCTTCACATCTTGCCCTCTAGACAACTGTAAGGTTTAGGATTATCCCTTTGTTTCTGTCGCAGTGACAATTGACAAGAAACAGAGGGGTGAGTCTCTCCAACAGTGACATAAAAAAGAACCTTGGTGAAGAGTCTAACCCTACCACACTATCCAAGTTTTGCCTTTAATAATAAGTTGTGATTCTAAACATGTTTTTTTCCCCCGGAGGGCGACGATTGGGAGGAGAGTTAGAAGGGGGGAGGGTATATATAAATATATAAAGGAATGTTAATCAAATTTTTGCAGCCTTTTTGGGTGAGAAATAATTACTATATGAGATATAATGATACGCCCAATATATGTGTATATATAAGGACATGTATGTATATGTATGGGGATATATGTATATGTATAAGTATATGTGAAAAGGGCTGTTCTTATCTGTGTTGCTATTCATAAAACTAATAAAATCTTATTACATTAAAAAAAAAAAAAAATTTCCCCAAAAGGTAGAATTTTGCTTTAAGCATTCTAAAGGCGGAACAATACCAGACTACCAGATATTGATTTGGTCTTGTTTCTCAAGGAAACACAATGCCTTCACACTGACGACATTTTTTAGGAATTGAAAAGGTTTCTGGGTGGCCTACCACATGACAGTTCCCCCCAGCTCTTTGACCAGTCAAAGTAGCTCTACAAGCAAGTTACCTTCAATCAGCAACTGGGCGGAGGTCTTATCATCCCCGGCGTCACAGGTGTACGTGTCTTCATCCGGGAATTCCACCTCATTGATGATCAGTTTCCGGTACAAGCCCTCGCTGACAATCTCGTATCGATTGCCTGGCTGAATCTGTTTGTCCTTCTTGTACCACTTCACCTTGGCGTTGGCACGGGACACTTGGCACTCGAGGAATGCCCTATGCTTCTCTATGGCAATCTTATCCCGCAGGGGTTTGGTGATTTTGACAGGAAGTTCTGCAATCATAAATGGATACATTCAATGACAAAAGTGCAAGACCAAAGAATAAGTTCTGCATGTCCTACAGCTGATCTGGTCTAGATGGGTATGCTGTGTTAATGCCCTTTAGTCCTTGTACAAGTGTGCCGCCACAATGGGGCATAGAATATGTTATTACATTAATGTTAGTAGATAGTTTTATATAGATCGTTTTCTCTATACCATTTTCTATGGACGTTTTATATGTTAGTTCCTATGGTGCCATCTTGTGGCCTTTCGTGATAACACACCTGTTTTTCTGTAATCCTTTCCTCATGTGACGACACATTTCCTTCGTGTGCAATGCCCCACCCTTCTTCCTGAGTTCAGTACTTCCTGTGTCATGGCCACAGCTAACAGCCACATGTAACAAGGACACATGTACTCTGCACAGTACGCTAGGAAAGGCATCATCTTTTGACCGCACAATACTGAAACCGTTCATCTGTTGTTCCTATCATCTGCTGTAACCCTGATGTTAAGAATAAAGCAATCTTTTTGGATGAAACGGTATTGACGAGTTCAGCTATCTGACAAGGATTGTCCGCAGTGAGTATATCTGCTTATACAGGCCAGGCATAGAGGTCTCACAAGGGATAAATCGCTATCACAACAATCGGAGTCAGAATAACAAGTGCATGGACAGCTCCCTGTTTTTATAATTATGGCAATATCTATCAGTTTTGGAAACACCAGTCTCTTCCATGTAGAAACTAGAGGTTAATAGTATTTCACTATTTTTTTATAATTCCTTCATTTAAAGCTCATGAAGTTGCCATGCCAAGTAAAGCTTAGCTGGAAAGGAGGCGAGGAAAGAGGGGGGCATAGTGATTCCCTTTTAGATTGTAAGTCCTCACAGGCAGGGCCCTTCTTACCATCTTGTCTTGAATTGTATTGTAATGTCTTACTTACATTTTGTACTTACTTACAAAATGCTGACGCAATATAAATCCTGTATAATATAATAAGAATAATGTGACAAGAAGTGAGGACAGCCAGATAGCACTGTAGGAAGGAAATAGTTCACACAATCACCACACGCTTTGGAGAAGACTTGGAGACGTTGGACGTTTTCTTAAGGGACCGTAATATACAGGGGTACGGGTACTCCTAGAATGAGATCCTAATAGGTTGGACTTGATGGACTAATGTCTTTATTCAACCTCAAATACTATGTAACTATGAAGGTGAGATGAGGACCAGCGGTCATGCTTGTGAGCTGGCAATGGTAAAGACTCCATATTGACAGGAGCACAAGCACAACCATTACAATTCCTGATTCCCTGACTTAGTTATGTCATATTAAGTGAGTAGATAAATAATACTTTGTAGATAATTAAGATCAGGGTGTAGATAGATTTGGTTTGAATGTATATTGCCCAATTTAACGCGCTGTAATTGGCATTTTAATATCTTTAATCTAGTAAAGATATCTTTTTTTACTCCTTTTATTTGTGTTAATCATTCCTCCCTTGAAGATCATTGTATCTGTGTTTCAAGATTTCAGCTGCTTGCTGTTAGAATACACATTATTGTATCTATTGCAACAACTCCTGCATTATACATTTTCGGTCAGTAGATGGCAGTGTTTATAAGTTATGTTATAGCTATGGTATATACTCTGTTGTATTGAATAAGGTAGAGAATAAAGCTGTGGCTTCCTTCCTGTTTTCCAAGCCATGTGCAGCATGCATATCTGACTGTGTGCTTGTGCTTCTCTGTGTGGCTGTGCAAGAAGTTCCAACACTTGCCTAGAAATCAGCTTTTAAGATTGATTTGGAGGGTAATGCTTCCAAACAATACCATACTCACCTTTGATGAGCAGATTGGCCTGACATTCTGCATTTTCTGCCGCAAATTTAATTTCTCCGGCATCTTCAGACTGAACAGTTTTGAAGATCAAAGAATAGGTCCTCCCTGGAATCAAACGTATCTTTATCAGAATAAAAAATATATAATGCAGGGACAAAGTTACTGAATATCACATAAAGAGAGGTGAAATGGTGTGTAGTATCCTCATCGTAGTTATTGCATTTTATAGCGGACAAAAGTAGATCCTGCCCCTAAATGTGTGGAGTCCTACCTTTATCTATACACTGTATTGCTTATTAGCAGTATGGTGTAATATAGTGATAAAGGACAGAGTGAGAAAAGGAGAAAGGAAAAGGGAGAAATGAGAAAGGAAAAGGAAAGGAAATTAAAAGAAAGGAAAGGAAAAAGAAGAGAAGAGGAAAGGAAAAAGAAGAGAAGAGGAAAGGAAAGGAAAAAGAAGAGAAGAGGAAAGGAAAGGAAAAAGAAGAGAAGAGGAAAGGAAGGGAAAGTAAAAAGAAGAGAAGAGGAATGGACGGGAAAGGAAAAAGAAGAGGAAAGGAAAAAGAAGAGAAGAGGAAAGGACAGGAAATGAAAAAGAAGAGAAGAGGAAAGGAAAAAGAAGAGGAAAGGAAAAAGAAGAGGAAAGGAAAAAGAAGAGAAGAGGAAAGGAAAAAGAAGAGAAGAGGAAAGGAAAGGAAAAAGAAGAGAACAGGAAAAGAAGGGAAAGGAACGGAAAAAGAAGAGAAGAGGAAAGGACAGGAAATGAAAAAGAAGAGAAGAGGAAAGGAAAAAGAAGAGAAGAGGAAAGGACAGGAAATGAAATGAAAAAGAAGAGAAGAGGAAAGGAAAGGAAAAAGAAGAGAAGATGAAAGGAAAGGAAAAAGAAGAGAAGAGGAAAAGAAGGGAAAGGAACGGAAAAAGAAGAGAAGAGGAAAGGAAAGGAAAAGAAGAGGAAAGGAAAGAAATAGAATGGAAGGTAAAAACAGAAAAGGATTCTGAACACTTCTAGACTGAACATGAAGGCTGCATTAGAGTGTAACCTAAGGCAAAACTGTATTTAATTTTAAATAGAAAAGTGGAAGATTCGACGCTCTGATAAATGTTTGCATTCCTCTTTCCATGATTTTGCACCACTTCCTGTTTCCAGAACAGGAAATAGAAAAAATATACCAAATGGGGAACCCAGTCAAAATCTGACTGGGGTTCTATCAATTTCCCCACTCTGCCCAATACTAAAAAAGAATCTACGGTTTTGCTATAGCATTTGAGCTCTGTTGAGTGGGTGGGCATTGATGCAAACAGTACTAAGCAGTGTTCTTTAAGGTAATGCCGGCCACTGCAACCCAGTATGAGGGGCTGAATGTCAAAGTGTGCCATAAACATCACTGAAATATATCCAGTGATTTCACAAGCAAAGGACTACTTCTCCCTGTCCTGAGGAGACAGGTGCTCTTCAAGCTAATACCATCACCTTGCACACTCACCTTCCTGACGCATCTTTACATTCTCTCCCGCCCTCAGCTTGACACCGTTTCTGTACCACTGAGTCTGGACATCATCGTGAGAGATCTGACAGAGGAACGAGGCCGATTGCTTCTCCTCCACCTCCACATCCACCAACGGCTTAATGAAATGGATTTCCCGAGCTATGGTTCAGATGAGGGAGGGTGATGATGGATGAATGATACAAAGCAATCCACAAGGCAACAGTAACTTGGCGAAATTAAACGCTCCAGACAAGATAAAGTTCAGTTTAATGTGAACCTGTTACAAACCTCAGCAATTGAAACTTAGAATATGATGAAAAATTACACCAGTAGAGGTTCATTTCAGTGTAAAACCCATGTCAAAGCAATGATCAGATCCAGAGATATAGGCAGCTGAAATGAGACCTTGCTCTCTATTTCATCCCAAAGGTGTTCCATTAATATGGAGTTGGTTCTGCACTTTGGGGCTATAACAGCCTCCACTCATTGGGAAGACTTTCCACAATATTTTGGAGTGTGTCTGTGGGATATTTGTGTCCAGTCACCCAAAAGAGCATTTGTGAGGTCAGTTACTGATGTTATATGAGAAGGCCTGGCTCACCATTGGCGTTCCTACTCATCTCAAAGTTTTTCAGTAGGGTTGAGGTCCGGGCTCCATGCAGACACTCGAGTTCCTCCACATCAAACTCAGCAGGTAATGTCTATATGGAGCTGGCTTTGTACACAGGGGCAAAAGTCATAGTTAAAACATAAAAAGGGCCTTCTCCCAGGCCCGGATTCCCCACAAGGCCACCGACGTCCGGCCATGCGGCGGCAGGGCGCAGAGGGGCGGCAGCGGTGTCCTTGTGGGGAAGTTGCCCTCTCTACATTCAGTCCTGCTTTGCACAAGCAGGACTAAATGTAGAGTGAGGCAGCCGATTTTTCGTTTACATGTGAACTAGGCGATGTACCGAGATCACATGTAAACAGTGTGCAGCCTCCTCCCCTGCCCCCTGCACTTACCTCTCTCCTCTGGTTCCGTCCTCCGCCGCCGAGTCTCTCACTGCAGTGATCAGAGCGGCAGGGTTAAAATTAACCCTGCCGCTCCGTGGAGAGGGGAGAGCTGTGCTGTGCTGTGCTCTTCCTCTTTCACCTGTCACAGGAGTTCCAGCAAAATGGCTTCGTATGATGAAGCATTAACAGTACCCTTCACTGGAAACACCTGAACTCAGTCATTTTGGTGATTTCCATAGGTAGGTGTGATGATCAGGTGTCAATTAATGTTTGACCATATGGTGTAGCAGATACAGATCATACCTTTTGCTGTACAGTTGAGCTTGGTTCCACCATCTACCACCTTCTTATGGCATCAATCACCAATAGGTAAACTCAGGAGGCAGGAATGGGGAGGGAGGGAGGGAGAAGTCAAATTTGATTTTTACAGGACAAGTCAAGATTTGAACGTATATTTAGTAGTTTGTATCTCTGGATCTCCTGATCGGTTTGACATGAAGATTTCACTAGAGGTGACCACTCCTCACAAATTTTCCCACTATATGCTTAGTTTGAATTGCCCAGGTTTGTAATCAATTTATTTTAAGCCCAATTTGTTTATTAAAGTCAAGCAAAGGTACAGTATCAGATACAATGAAAGTTTATCTTTAAATGGACTTGTCCCAAGAGCTCTAAACTTACACCACAAGTATAAAATGTAATAACTGGTAAAATTGTACAAATATACAGGAAATGTTATTTTTTACCTCTAAATACAATACAGATAAACTTTCCTACAGATGGCTAACTTGCTGTGTATTAATCACAACGGGAAACTTTCAGTAATACCAATCTAGGACACCGCAGGCAATCTTTGGTGAGCCTCCTGTAGCCTTAAATGACTGTTCTTAGCATACTGGGAAACCTAAATACAATGTCAAATACAATGTCAAATCTTTAAAACTGTGTAGAGATATGGGACTATATGTATGAATATCTTTGAACAGGAAGTCTAACTCTGCTAGATAAAGATAGCATATCTTGAATTACTGGTATTTTAACCTCCCTAGCGGTATGATTTTTTCTTTTTTTCATGTCATTTTTCGGCCTATTTTTTTTTCGATTTTTTTTTTGTCTTCGTCGTTCTTTTTTTTAATATCCTGCGTACGCTCGCAAGGGACGGAACCCGGAAGACGGATGCCGGTATCGGGCGGAGAACACAGCGCTGCTCAAGGGACAAGATAGGTAAATGTTATGCAGCATTCCCGAGTGTAGCTCGGGATTACCGCTTATGGTATGGAAAAGTAACCCTGAGCTACACTCGGGAATACCGCCATGGAGGTTAAAGTTCTCATAGAAAAAGAAATATAGGTTTATAGATCCTGATGAAACCATCTGGACAGGGGTTCCAACCATTCCCCACTCTATCCAAAGTTTTGTACTGTAAAGGCCATTGTGTCCTATGATCAAAATGTCATCATTAAAGGAGAACTATGAGGGGGGTGCTTTTCACTTACCTCATAGTTCTAGCCGACCTGTGACAATGAGACTGTCACAGGTCGGCTCAGTAGATCGGGAGGTGAGCGAACACATAACGGCGTTCGCTCACCTCTCGATCCTGTCACCGCTCTCTACCGTGACAGGGGAGGGGCTGGATTCCCCTCTCCCCGCTCCGATCCGCCAGCGCTGACTGGCGGAACGGACGGGGGAGGGGGCGGGTACAGCTGGCTCTGCCTCTAGATAGGCAGAGCCAGCTGTCACTCACACAGCTGGGTGGATCCAGACATAGATGTCGGGATCCGATCCGGCTGCAGCGTCTCAGTATACCGCAAGCTGTAGCTCCCTATATACTGAGCTTAGGGTGACGGGAGGACGCTAGTTTGTGTCCTCCCGTTACCCTAAGGAGAACTATGGGGAAAAGCCCTGACCCCATAGTTCTCCTTTAAACTAAGGAAGACCCTTGTAAACCATTTTTATAGCATAATTAATCAACAGAATTCACAATTAACTATCAAGAAAGAAAAATCAGGATGGGTGGTTAGTGATGTCATGGCGGCTGGTGTTAGTGCTAAACTCTGTATTACAGATCACGATCTCCAACTTGCCTTTCACAGTTAGGATGGCGGTTGTCTTGTCGTCCCCGGCATCGCAGACGTAGGTGCCCTTGTCATCAAACTCGCACTTGTGGATGGTGAGGTTTCTCTTTTTGCCTTGGGAGATGATTGTGACCTTTTTGCTGGGTCGTAATTCAAGTCCATCCTGAAATGAGAGGAAACATACATATGACTACGATACCCTAGCACAGACCCTTCCTTCCATGCACGTCAGGAATATACCCCAGCATTTACATCCACACAGGATCCAATCACCATGGAAGGTGCCAAGGCAGAAGCTGATTGTCCAAGAACAGGAGGCCAGGTCTCAGCAGTTTTTCTACACGTTAAGGAAAGTGGACATTCTGTTGAGGACAGTGAGGTGCACATTTTGGACAGAGAGGACAACTGGTTTGCAAAAGGCGTCAAAGAGGCCATCTATGTCAAACTTGAACAGCCATCGTTGAACAGGGGTGGGGGCACTCAACACCATTTATCTTCCACATATAATGCCATTTATGATCTCTACCCCGGGCGCTTTGACTACAGTTCACACCTTCAGCCTATTAACCTGTTTGCATACATCAAGGGTGGGATTATGTAACTAGAATATGGAGGTTCCACAACTTTCGCCCCTCATATCCTGTTCTTTGACAATCAATATCTGCCTTGACACATTCCATGCTTCCTTCACTTATTTGAACTGAAAAACTGGCTTTGAGAAGCTGTGAAATGTCTTTAACATTACAGAACAGGTTTCTCTGAATGTGACCAGCTACTACTGGATATACCATGACCTGGAGAACTTTCACAGATGTACTGAGAATTTACAATTTGGCAAGTTTCACTGCCACAGTGCAGCTGCAGACTTGCAGCTGAGCTGTTACTTGTAGTTTTACAAGTATATACATATCTCTTACCCCTGGTTCTGCAGGCATGCAGGGCTGTACTGGTGCTTGTAGTCCTCCAGACATGTGCTCTAAACCTGACTCACACTTGCACCTGTCTGCAAGCTTTAGGCGTCGGTCGACCTCTCCTGCTGTTTCTTATGCAGCTTCTCTGCCAATCAGTGCAGTCCGCTTGTGGCTAATCCTGTAGATCCTCCCCCTTCCTGTCTCTATTTAAACTAAGCTAGTTGCTGAGCCCCCCATTTGTGATTTACCCTGAATTCCTGAAAGTTTTCCCGTGTACCGAACCTTTGGCTTGTCCTTGGAAATCCCTGTATACTGGCTGCCCTGTGCTTCGCTTTTGTCCTTGGAAATCCCTTTACTTCACTTCGTCCCTGGAAGTCTTTAGCCTGTCCCTAACCTTTGATTCGTACCCAGTACCTGTTAGGTGAGTTGGGTGGACCTAGGGATTGTGACCTGGGGTCAGCACGCAGCCAAGCCCATCTCCACCATCAGGAGCTCTGGTGAATACCGTCTGGCTCTTAGATTCCACATCCTGGGGAACCCCTGCCACTTACTCAGCATTGCAGCACCCTTCTTTGTATGTGAACTTCCAGCTTAAGCTGACTTCCACTGCCTCATTCACATACCTGCTCTGTTCCCTGCTTGTACTCCAGCTCTGGGAGTTGTCAGCCTACACTGCTTGGACCCTTTTCTCTAAGTGTCCGTGCCAGTGTAGTGGAAAGGGTCCACATACCTGACTCCAGTTTATACCTGTGAGTCCCAATCCATGACATTCACCAACACCAAAATCGGTAATTTACGTGGCAAATCAATTTTGCCAATATCATTTCACTCATCGCTGTTACTAGGAAATGCTCCTTCGTGATTGGTGAAGATGCAGGGGGTATACCAAAGCCACAGATGCAATTGTAACCTAAGGCCCTAGTGCAAGTTCATTTTTTTGTTTTGTTATATGTGAGTAGCACTAAAGGCATTGCTATGCAGAGAATCCCACTTACCTTCAGCCATTTCACCTCGGCATTAGCCCTGGACACCTCACACTCCAACGTCACCTTGTCCTTCTCTGCCACAGTGATGTCTTTGAGAGGTTGGCTGATCTTCACTGGAGGTTCTAAAAGAACAAAATGTAGAACCGGAAATATCTAATTATTCAGTCTGTACACATACAATCAGCCACTGTCATCAACAGAATAAAAGAATTAAAGCCCAATTGAACCTTCAGTTAAATCAGTTTTTAATATACTCCAAGTGGAGCAAAACAAATGTTGTGCAATGCTTATCGTTTGCTTCATCAACAGCCATTCCCTGCAAGTGTGCTGCAAAGAAGGACCCTTGCTCGCTTTGGGGAAGTAGTGGTTTCCATGCTGAGTTCTGACATGGAGTTCATGCTCCGTACTGATTGGAGAGGTTGGGAAGGGGTGTGTTGGAGCTCTGCATAGAGACCACTGCTTGCTACTTGACACATTAGTGACGCAGGGGCCAGAGAAAGGAACCACAGAGTGCAAAGTGAGCTCAGGTATCTGGCACATCTTCAATGCACCAGATGCTGATGTTTTTAGCCAACATAGCTCCCAAAGAGAAGACGTGGGCACTGGGAGGGGTATCATTAACTCTTCCCTTTGCCAGCATACATTTGGTTTTAAGTTTTACAGAACTGAGTCACTGTAGTGCAATGTACAAAAAAAGCGCATTAAAAATCGTAACGGCCCAAGCGGCCTATGCTATGGTCTACAGCATGTGATTGGGTCCGCTGATTTACAATATGACAAAGCAGATACTTATACAGTGCTAAGCTTAATAAGGCAATTACTGAGAGGAAGCCTCATCCTTTAAAGGGAATGTGTGTGTGTGTGTATATATATATATATATATATATA